ACACACACACACACACACACACACACACACACACACACACACACCTCCATGTTTTCATAAAAAACACACATGCATAGAAATTCAGACTTTTAAAAACTAAGGTGAGGAGTTCTGAAATAATGATGCAATCATGCAACAAGAGTATCAACAAAAGCCAAACCTTCAACACAACTATCACCGCTATCAACACTCACTGTATTTTTAAACCCATTTGAGAGCAGTTTCAGGTGCATCACGTCTAGTTAATTAGTGTTTTTTATGATTAGGAATCTTCTAGGGGATTCTTGATGCTACTGAGCATGTGGGACACACTTGTAGACGCCACCTGAAGTGACACAATCTGTTCAACAATCTGTGATGGGAGAGCCTTTTAGAGCTCACACAAAGAGTTGTAACCGAGATAGCAAACACCTCTGGGTCTAATCTGGCTCCTTTTGGAAGTTGACACTTGGTTATAGTTTAGTGAATGTTGAATGGGCCAAGTATGGCTAAATAGTCATGAGCAAGGCTCAAGAGAGATTATTGTTGTCTGGGCCACATTTGGCTAAAATGCCACAACACACCCAGCATCTGGTGGACATGAGAGGAAGTCAACCAGCCAACGTCAATGGTCAAAGCCAAATGTGGCCCATAACAAACTGCAGATCAAATTTAGGCCAGACTTGGTATCAAGTGTTTCACATACAGCAATGCTGTGACTCAAAGCACCACTCCAAGCCAGATCATAGGCTGTATATAAATGTCATTCTTTCCATTTGGAGCCTCAGCGCTCGAGTATTGGCCACTATCATGTTTTTTTGTTTGGGACCAGAATTGAACATATTTGGATGAAGGAGTGGGGTTCTAACTTTATCATATAAAGCTAGGATCTTTAACCAGCGGATACTTCTATACTAGAATTTTATTCACAAAACCTGAAGCACAAACTTCTAGGATGATCTGAACCACACACCATTAATTAATTAATTAATTAATTAATTAATAAAGCATATATCAATCAAAGCAGCCATGACCTTAACTCTAGTATTTAAATAGATGAAAATTATTAGGAAATTAGGAAAGTGAATATTATCCATCGAGTCCTAAACTGTGCTTTTAAAACCAGGCTGTAAAAATGCTTTTTAAAGCATTTTTAAAAATAGGAGTCAATACGCACTCAATCGCTTTTGGAGGCAGCTTCAAGTGCCAATTAGAAGAACTGTAGTTTTTGGCTCTCTGCTTCATTTTCCAATCCTGGAGGTCACAGAAAAAAATGATCAGTCACTGACAAAACTGAAAAGCTTCATCAGCTTAATGTGAAGAAGAAAAAACACTTTGCACTGCACTCAGCACTGATGGGAAAGACTCGTGTAACCCTCTCAAGTCAGCTGTATGTTTGTTCTGGTTTTGTATATATGAATGAATGAATGTAGTGAAGATATATTATTGAAATGCATGATTTGTAGATCACACATAATGTTGGCTAATCTTGTAGATATAACCAACATAGAAGCTGTGATCTTTGATTCAATGCTGCTGAAGGCATTTCATTATCATAATTCCATATAATTACACTGACTCATTATTTTAACGAGCCTTATGTAAAACAGGATGATAGGGTTCTTGAGGAAAGACCCAATAATAGCCAAAGGCTAAGATAAAGAAATATTTTAACTCTGAAGGGATGATCTCTATTCTATGTGACCTCCTCCAAGCGCTCATCCTGCTGCACTCATTCTGTTGAGGACCTGGTGACACTTTTTGACAACGACACAAAGGGTGGGTAACACAGGAGGACCCCGTTCTCCTCAAGCTGCCCCTACCCCACGCCAAAAAGCCTGGGAAGACTCAAATTCCCCCTCTACCTCAAAACACACCAAAGTGTCTTCCATCCATACCGCATAGCAGCTGCATCCAGGCGCAGATCTTGTAGACCGTGGCAGTGTTGCAGAAGAAGAAGAGGGCGAAGCAGCCGATGCAGGTGATGATGAGCACCATGGACATCAGCACGAAGAATGAGGCCGCCTTAAAGGCTCCTGACGGGATGGAGCCGAATTCGTAGAAGCTGCCCTGGCACGAGAATTCCCGGTTGGAGTTCCCGTTACCCACGCAGTAGTGGAACAAACCGAAGTAGCCGGCTTGAGGTGTGTTGACGCTGTCGCCAATCCAATAAGGCTGGAAGAACACCACCACGTTAATGATGGCCAAGCAGATGGTGAATATGGCCCACAGGACCCCGATGGCCCTGGAGTTGCGCATATAGTTGTCATGGTAGATTTTGGAGGCTTCTTGCGAAGGCAGCATTTTTCTTTCCCACCCCCCAAACCCTCCTCACCCACCGTACACAACAGCGCGCCAACCTGCTATTTCTTCTTTTCTCGAACTAACTTCTTAATCCGCAAGTACAAAGGATGAAAACAAATGTCTATTCTATTGAAAATCTCGGGAACAATTGTGCCCGCATACAGTGGCTGTTCCCTTCTGCATCCAGATCCTGCTTTTTTCCTTTCTTTTTTGTTTTACTCTCACATCCACACGCCCCACTCCTCCTTCCGTTTTCCTTAGCTCTGATCAGTCACTCAGTCAGCGGTGAAACGTGATTCGGCTAACGGGAAAAGGCTCCCCTCTTCTCCGCTTTTCTCAGTGTGTAGAGAGCGGACGGCCGAGCTCACAGAGCGAAACGCTGCGGCCACGGATGCGCATCATTTCAGCGCTTCTCGGGCTTCTCGTATCCGCTCTGCTGCGCATCCAGACCAGGATGTTCGAGCAAAAATAACACAAACTAAAATAAAAACGCTTCAAAACGATGCGTGACAGCAGTAACTTTCACCGAGCTGATGAGGAAGCTTTCTGAACATCAGCAGAGATCCAGAAGAAATACAGAAAGACACTCGTGCAGCTTCTGACATGCTGCACGAAGAAAACTCGCCAGAACACAAAGAAACCCTTACACCCCAAGTGTACGCTGATGGACAAATCAGTGCTCCAACACCGCTGCACACACTGACAACCTCATGACTGTGGTTTTGGATATTCACTTCCTCTCCTCGCTCCCTTGTCTCTCTGCTCTCTCTCTCTCTACAGCCAAAAGCACACACGCATCACTAATCAAATAAGTGCTGACATTAATAAAGGGCACAAGATGTAAACATTTCTTACAGCGAAGAAAGACATTTGCAGCTCTCTGCTGTAACCAGCTCTGCCCAGGAACTTTCCTACAAACAAAGCTAGATTGCCAACCCAGCGGATCGAGGCTCCCGAGAGTGTGATGTTTCTCGTGGTTTCATTCAAAATCTGAAAATTAACTCCTATATCAATTAACAGAAAATGAAGATCTCCATTAATGTTCAAGACCCGTTTAATCTATTGAAGAAGACTTCCCCTCCTGATAGAAGCAAAAGCAGTCATTTTAAACATGACCACTTATTTTGATAGTTCAAAGGACACATCTAAGCTACCTAAACTGGGTTTAAGGTTTTAATGTTCTCTTTCCCAGTTTTATCTACTAGAGGAATGAAATGTAGCCAATATAAAGGTTGTATTTTGGTAGTGGCCATAATAACAGAGCTGGTAGTTTTCATCTTGTGTGTGAGTGATCATTGCAGATCGTGGTCCCTGTGTGAACTACTCCAGTACTTATACAGAGATATGACAGCTGTGCGAAATACAGTCACCAAATTTAACAGGTTCATATTTGAACTCAAACTTACGGCTGGCTTAAAAAGGGACTGGTGTGAGTGTCCAAGCTGATAGAACAGAGACAAATGGGCATTTTAAAAAAAAGTTTATTGGTTTTCCAATGGAAAAAATATATAATTTTAGACCCATGAAACTTAGCTAAAAATATGAGCCATTTAAAATACATTTAAGTCAGGTGCAGGAAAAATAGAGGGTGATCAGGCCCTTAAGATGCAAAGAAGATAAAGTAAGACATGTGTCGCGCCTGGCGTAGCAGACGTGTGGAATGGAGATAAAGACCCAAGATGCGGACTGCTAAGTAGTGAGTGAGCTTTATTAACAAAAGGTGAAATACAGCACAACAGGAAGGGGGGCGAGGAACAGAACAGAAAATACTCTAAACTGGGAAAACTAAAACTTAACAAAGCCAGAACACGAACGAGGGTACCTTGCAGGGAGAATCACCAGGAAGCCGGAGGCACAAACACAGAATAACGCAGACAAACCAGCAACTACTAAGACAGAAGACACGACTAAAATACACTCAGAGAACACAGGGAGATTACACACAGGTGGGGAACACAGCTGGGAGTGATTAACGTGACGAGACAAGGGAGGCAAACTGAAAACACTCACATAAGACGCAGACCTTCACAATAAAACAGGAAACACATACTCGCAATGACACAACACACAGACTTCACACAGACTGGGGAACACAGAACATAGGAACATAAAACGTGAACAGAGAATGTACAAGAACCCCAAAATAACCAAAACCACAGAATAATAATAACATAAACACAGAGTCGCAGACTCCGGATCCTGACAACATGACTGTTCAAACTAGCTATCCAAGATGCAACAGAGTGGTAAAAACAAATAACTGAATTGCAAAATACAAAATTTACCAACACTGTTACCAAATGTCTTGATGCATGCTCAATCATGGAAATCCCAAAAGTTGTTTTTGTTCATCTGGGAGAAACGTTTCGTCACTCATCCAAGTGAGTGATGTGAGTGACCGTTGACCACTGATCATTGATCAATGGTCTTTGATCAATGGCCATGAGTACCATTCACAGAGAGTTGGGGAATGGCTGCAATCACAGCATTGTAAGATGGTGAAAGATATACTCTTAGGCCCCCTCCTCAATTCAGAGATGGTCTTTCCCTTTTCTTGATTCCCCGCCAGCGTTCCTCCCTCTCCAGGATGTGTACATCCTCATTATTGAAAGACTGTCCACTGGCCTGTAGGTGTGAATAGACATCTAAACGCTACGTCCAGATGAACAGAATCAGCTTTTTGGGAGTGTTACCAAATGGATGTTTGTGGATTCCACCACTGATGCAAAGGTTATGTGGGCATTAATGACCGTCAGAGTTAACTTTCAGCTTGGAGGAGACAGTGATCACAACTGAGTGTTTCAAGGTTTATTTACAAGTGGTAAGAAAAAGAGAGAAGGGCACTACAGGTGAACTCAGGTGGTGTTTGTAGAGAAGGGGCAACTGTTAGACGTGGCTGGACTGATTCAGAGAATTGCAACAGCTGAGAGAGTTGGCAAACTGTGTTCTTACTTGTGGTGCAGGTGAACAGAGCTTGAGAGAGGTGCCGGTGGGCAGGCAGAGATCTGAGATGAGTGGGTGGGAATCAATGGAGAGCAGGCAGGGACGTTATGTGGCAGGTAGAGCCTTGAATCCACAGGGAGTGTTGGACTGTGAGAGTGATGAAAGTGTATTTCTAGTTGTGAACTCTTGAATCCTTAAGATTCCACAGGTTGATTTTCTAAAGGGTGGGAATCAGACTTCAGGCAAGGAACTGGGAGACTGGGTTACAAGAGAAAGCACAAAAAAACCAACTCTAGACTTGAGAGAGCCAAGTTACCACCACTGTGGACAAACCAACTGTGAGAGAATGGAAGATATACAGCCACAAGGTATATATGTACACAGCATGTGTGAAAGTCAAGCCCAGAAAGTGCAGCTTGTACCAAGGGTGGAACATGGACCTGCCCAGCTCTCCACCTTAAAGAATAGAGAAAACACAGATGAACTCCACACCTGGCCAGATGCTGATAGACTGGGACAAACTGGTATTAATGGTATAACTTAAATTTCTTCATAATATGACTTTAGATAATAAGGTTTGACTAGTTTATTAATTTTATTAAGCAGAACATTAAATAGAGCATAAGGAAAACTGTTGATTAAAACATGGCTCATGCAGCGTATGAAAGTGGGCCGATTACATTTGCCTTCATATCTGCACATCAAGTGGTCATTGCCTGTCTGGCTAAAACTGACTGCTGGATTTGACTTTTACAATCTTCCACATAGATTAATGTCACCACAGTATCATGTCCCCTGAAGAACAAAGCAGTTCTAAGACTAAAGAGACAGATCATGCCAACGTAACTGCCATGAGGATTCAGGTATAAGATAAACTACACAGACTGTGTCAGCTCAGCTGGGTTCAATTCTTAATTCCAGGAATGTCTTTTGAAGTGCATTCTTCATGCTGTCTGTTGCAAGAACTGCTGTTCAGAAACGGGTGCATTCAGTCATGCTCTGAAAAGGCACCCCAACGTCACCCCGTGAAGTATAAATGCCCTGTCCTACTCTGCATACTGTCTGTGTGCAAAAGAACTTGTATACAACATTTAGTTCCACCACAGGAAACTGTGAAGCCTAAACAATGTCACTTAAATTATGTTCTTTTAGTCAGTGTCATTTGGGTAGAAACAACCTCTGACCATGGTAGGCTAGTGCTTCTTATCTCTGCTGCAGGCTACAAACTCCAAGATACATAAGTCACTATCAGCACAACAAATCCTACTTAATCAATGGAGGATGAGAAACAATCTGGGTAACATAGACTCCAAGATGTGACTAGAACAGAAATGTATGGTATCATTAAAGAAAATATCTCAAAGCACTTTGATCATGTTAGCATTTGAGCTCCTACCATACTTCTTCTTCTTTTTACAGTCTGTACCGTATTTGGATAAGAAAGCCACAGACTAAGTTTTCTGGTAATTCAAGGGGGCTTGACTGTAGGGTTTAAACAAAAATACATTATTTTTAAGCCACGTTATTTGTCAGATGAATATATTTGTGCTCCAAAAGGCACCAATGCAGTTGAGAAGTATAGTTCAATAACTTGAATTAGCAGAGGTGAGGCTGAGCAGGCAGCTACAATCAGTAGCTGCCTGCTTAAGCCCCTTTGATAAAGCTTAAAGGGGCTTAAATGCCCCTTTAAGCTTTATCAGTAATAAATGTAGTAAAGGGCAATCTATTGGAATTAACTTGCTTTGGCAGCTAGCTCAAGTGGACATTAAAGGACACACACACACACACACACACACACACACACACACACACACACACACACACACACACACACACACCTGCATGGGTGTCCTCCAGTTACTCCATTCCAAAGAAATGCATGTTAGGTTACCTGGTAATTCTAAGTTGACCATCGATGGGAGGTAGATAACGTGCTTGGTGAATAAAACATTGTATGAAAATATAGTTAAAATGTCACTTGCAGCAAAAAATGCTTTAGTCAGTAAGACTAAAAAATTACATTATATTTACAGAGATCATGTAAACAAAGCAAAACAGATTTACATACTCGGTACATCATCAAGCACAGTGCAGCTAAAAAAACGATTTAGAAAAAGACAGCAAAAATCTAAGTGGAGTCAGAAATCTGTCTAAGTTATATGGGCTGAAGTTTATTACTCCACATAGCTAGACACCTGTCTAGTTTGTTATTTGTTATCTATAATGAATGCTCGCTGCTGGCAGTGTTTCTGTGGACACGGACCTGCACTAGTCACACTGGAGGGAAAAATCTTTTTCTAAAAATGTTATCCACATCATTCAGGACCTTTTGTTTACTGACAACACCATGTTATGCATCAGGCACTGGAAAATTTGCCAAGGATTTTTTATGTTGTGTACTGGAAGCTTTAAATAAGGGTTCAAATAAAATGCAGTTTCAGATGGAACAAAGTACAAACAGACAGCACATGACCTGCTCGATAATATCAAAATATAAAGCCCTTCAAAATAAAAGCCCCCCCCCCCTCTTGTTAACATTGTCCAGTCTATGACAGAGCCAACACACACAACCATTCACTCTCACATCCACACCTACTGCCAGTCACCAGTTAACAGATCATGCACGTCTTTGCAACCTTCTTGTTGTGAGACAAGAGTACTAATCACTGCAACAATATGTGATCCACTTTTTTATCAAACAAAAGTGCCAGTTGTATTTTCATTGAAGACCACGTTTCATGTAATTTGATGCAATAAGTGACCATATTTAAACAAGAAGTGTTCGAATTTATCAGCAAATATCAGCAGAATCTTGTTACGGTAGTAAGTTTAATGCATTCCCCCCGATTTGTTTGTTTCAGCTGAGCCTAATCCCCCAGCTATCACTCCAGATAATATAGTGAATTTGATTAAAATGTTGTAACCAAATAATGAATGATAGATTAAAGCTATATATAAGGGACTTTAGTGCCTATTTTCAGTAACTCTTCCTCTTCTGTAACAGAACCACATTGTGTTACCTCGTAATGTTTGATAATGTCAGCACTGATGAATTTGGAGTGTCAATTAAAGAGGGAACTCTTTAACTGAACTCTTTAAATAAGACTTCATGATTACTGAAGAAAGGGTTGAATGTTTAGTTTCTACTCTAATTAAGCGCTCGCTAATTGAGTTATTGTAGGGACGCAAATAAATGTATTTTCGTTTTCCACCCCTATATTCTGCACTTTGGGAAGCAAAAAATTAAAATTTTACAAAACAAAAGCAAAAAACAAACAAACAAACCTCAGCTCATTTTTTCTGTATGCATAGACCGAGCTCTATAATTTCTCCAATATAGTTTCTCATATGAAAGTGGTCTGCTTAACCTGGCTAGGATAATTAGAAAGGTAGGTAAAGTTAAGGTTAGTAAAATCATCGGGTTTTTTTACTTTAATTTTTAACTCGGTCTTTATTTCCGCTCAAATACTGTGATCAGATTGTTTACCCAGCCGTAGTAAAGTAGTAGCGAGTCCTTCCAGCTGATCCAATCAGGCACCACCATTTAAAGGGGGTGATGGCTGTCACATGGTTAAACCTGCTTCCTGTTTATCGGCTGTTTTACTTCGGTATCTGTTGCACAGCTTGCGACACCACTCGGTATTGCTGAGGCTGTTATCCACTTCTATTTTGCTACCTTCCAGCGACAGGACAGTTTACTGTATACATTTAACAGTTTATGGTCGTGGTTTCTAAGGAGACAGGAAGACATGGCACTGAGGAAACGTGAGTAGGCCGGGAAGGATCCTGGAGATTTCCTGACTCCAGGTGACGGGGAGTTTTACTTTATTGGTGCTGAGAGACGAACGAAAGTTTACCCTATGTCAGAAAATAAAACGGCTGTTTATTTATGTTGAATGAATTTACCAGGGCTTTGATTTGGTGGAAAAGACGAACGATAGGCTACGCCTGGGGACCTGAGCTAGCCTGTTAGCTAGTCTTGCTAACCTCTGTAGCCTGCAGCGGCAGCAGCTGTGGTTTGAGTGACCGGCTTTACGGGCTGGCTAACAGGCTGTGTTTGGAGAGTGGAACGGTTCGCTGGTGCCCTGAATTCAAGAAGACTCCCCGGCTCCGGCTCCCTCAAGCGGGCAGTCAGGAAAAAGCTGGCTGGGAAGGGATGGCCTGGTCGGTCTCCCCGTCCCAGAGGACAAGGCTCAGCGGTGTTTGAAGGAGGTCGAGTGCGGCTCGAAGCCACCGCAGCGGGTCGAGGCACTATGACGGACACCCACCTCCCCACGGCCGGCGGCTTCCCGGCTCCCGGGCTGTTGGTCAGAAAGAGTGAAGAAATAACGGATTTGATAGACCTGTTTTCCAAGACGCAGTACAGGGCAAAGGAAGTCACTCCTCAGGTACTTCTCTTTTCTCTCTACTTTAGCTTCATGATAAGTTACTACTTTTGCTAAGGATGCGCCAAATGGTGTTTGTATTAAATCAATCAATTTAAATGATGAGTTGCACTGAAGACATGCTCAACTCCGCAAAAGAATATCCAAAAAGTAGTACGTAACTTGCATGCATGCTTTTTTTTAAGTTGTATTGCTCAAGCTAGACTCTGATGATTGTGTGGACAATGTTTAGACATCTGGCTGGCAGTTTGACTGCTCGGTGTCTAATAATGCAATCTATGGGTATGCATTTGGACTGTGTGGCTAGAATCTGCCATATCAAAACAATGGGATCTTATTGTCTCTCCACATGAGCCTTTTGGACTATAGTATTATCTAAAGGAACCATTAAGGACTATTAATATGTTTATCTCCTTCAGGTGGCGGCCATAGAGACACGCTGTCTGCAGCTGTTTGCCAGAGATTACAAGTACAGCATCATCCAGAACGCCAACGGAGAAGTGTGTGGACACTACCCCCGACAGATAGTTTTCCTGGAGTATGAATGCCTAGATGTGGAGAAAGACAGGTATATCTCCACTGCTCAGTCATCCCATCCTTTTTCCCCTGATACAAAGTTCAGCCTAGTTACAAATTACCCACTTGTTTGTTTGTGTGCCTCTTCTTCCATGCACACCTTATTATGGTGTGGGGACCAAAGATCATCCTCCGTCTGCAGCCCCTCTGAACACATAAAGGAGGCAGAGGGGTAAAGTGACTGTTGTGTCACATGGAGTCAGTCACATTATAGCAGTGATTCAAAAAGGCCCTCTTTCTCATTGCTGATTCATGTAGCGCAACAAATTTCCAGTAGAGTGCTAGAAATGGATAGCAGCAAAATCCTTCATATGCACAGCAAGATCTATATATCTTGTCAATTAGTTTTACACAATTGAAACTCATACATTGAAAAAGACATTTTCTTTCAGTTAAAGTGATTCCAAAGTTCATGTCAGCTGAAAAATTGTGGAACACCAAAACCTGATTGCAGTTAATGCATGCAACCGCATGTATAACTGCACCCAGGGGAGTATAGAAGCAACTTATCAGTTGACAATAAGAAATGTTAAGTCATTTAGTAATCTAAAGTAGCAAACATGTATGAGGCCAAAATGCTGGCAGACTTTACATCAGAAACCTTTCTGATTCTTTCTAGGTTAGACTCTTAATCTTTGCACAGTTACCTGTAATGATGAAGCAAAATAGCTTTTTGGAGTGTTTTGTTTAAGACTTAAATATTTCTTTTGAATGTATTCATGTGCAGCCATGTTTCCAGTTTTAAGTGTCAGTTTAAAAACAAAATGCACTTTCTCACAAATGTTTAAGCTGCACGTTAAATTGAAAAGGGCAATGGACTGTGCATATTAACTACTGAGTACGATGCAAGAAACATGGTTACAAAATGTATTTATGTAAATGGATTTTAGTGGAGACAAAAGTGAGAATCAGGAAAACTGGGAAATTGTGTTTATCACTAAAATGAATGTTTAAGATTATCCAGAGTTGCACAGGGTTTCAAGTATGTCGCAAAAATGTTGCAATGATCTAAAGTTGGATACAAAGTTAATACCAATATTGCAGCTTGCATCTGTAATAAATGTTTGCATTATGGGGTAAAAGTATGCTGAGTCATCTGTTAAGTATCAGGTATTGACTCTAATCGTTGAGTGACCTCTGGCCGCTTTATCACGTTTGATCCCTTTACTTTAGGTAATCCTTAGGTGTTTCTGTGACTGCACTTACATAAGGTTAAGTGTGGGCAAAATATTGGTGGCTTTTTAAAAACAAACTAAATTTGTAGCGGAAGTGTTTAAAGAAGCTCCTTCAGCAGTGCAGTGTTGCTTTCCTGCCACTACTAGCGATTTTTCTTAGTTTAAACTTTCAAAATGGACCAGTCCAGTGATTTAGTCAGGTGGCAGGATGTATCGTTAAAACAGTCAAACCAGAGTAATGTATGAAAATGCTGAGGGCTTTCATGTGTCAGTGTGCTAAAGTTTTTCTAAGAAAAGAGTTTTTAAAAAATCTGTAACTGTTAATTTCATTTCTGCTGTAGTGGTTGCAGTTATTTTAGTTTTTGAAGCTGGGGGAAGATCGGCAATATGAGCGTAAAAGCTTTTCAGATTTCTTCATTGTAAATTTGCATAAATGAGGCTGGTTTCATTTGGAGCAGAAATTTGTTAACTGCTGGATTGTGTTGTGTAGTTGATGTGCAGAGCATGTGGTGGTTTGTGTGTACAGGTTTGAGAGCACGGTGCAGATCTCTAAGCTGCAGGACCTAGTGAACCGGAGTAAGATGGCTCGCTGTAGAGGGAGGTTCGTCTGTCCAGTCATCCTCTACAATGGCAAGGTATCTGTATTGGTCTTGGTTACATACAACTGTTCTTTTTCCTCCATGTGACAAAATTCTGATGTCAAAGGTGTGACCTCCTCATGCTGTGGTTGCTCCTTAACACTGACGCTTGTGTAGCAGGGGGGGAAAAAAAGTACTCAAAACAAACCCAACCTGAATAGTTTGAGGTTAAACATGCGGGTAAAATGTGTACAGTGCTAACAAAGAAAAAAATCAAGCTGAGTTGGAAGCAGAAGCTCGTTTGAATTATGTATCCTTCTCGTGTTGTTGTGAGGAACCAAAGGGAACGCGGGAACGAGTAGAAGATGAATAAGGGCCAGAGCATCTCGGACCCAATTCAGCCTGCATGCATCAAACTTAAGTTTATTAGATCTGTGTGGGTGCAGTGAACCTGTAACACTCTAAAGATTACGTAGTGCCAGCACCAGCTAATGTTACATCTGTGTTAAGGCACGAGGCGCTGAGGTACAATGATTCTAGGGTACTAATGCTAACTGTCCGTGCTATTTTGCGAGGCCATAATTTTGGTCTGACTGACTTTGTGGAGCATTTTCCTCCTTTAAGAAGTAAAGTAGCTGAAAGTTCAAAATTTTCAGTTTTCTGAATGTTTAAATTTGACAATGACTGAAATATAAAATGTTGTATTCTTTGCTTGCCATATTTTAGCATATATGCCGATCATCCACACTGGCAGGCTGGGGGGAGCTGTATGGACGCACAGGCTACAACTACATTTTCTCAGGTAAAAGCACACACACCTGCAAATGGCTTAAAGTTGGTATAAATGTGAAGTTGCGGCTGACTTATTTTCATGATAAGTTTCAGTTTGGATTCTGACCTGTGAGTAGCTGCAGCACTTTTCTTTCTGAGCCTTTGTTTTGACTGAAAGGTTGCCTCCACTGAAAATCACCAGCTCATCAGGGATGACTACAGTTGTTTCTGTTTTAGTTCCCTTTTAACATCAGTTGAGGGGAACGTGTGGGGGGTGGAACCGCACCGAATATTAAGATCACTTAGCATTTCTCAGGCTGCAAAGTTCACTGCTGTGGTACAGTAGCTGTACTTCCTGGCATTCTGACAAATGGTGCCATTTCTGCATTGCTGCACACACTGAGACTCTATGAACTAAGTGCAAAGATTACTTCTGCATTACAGAAGCTTTCAGAAAATTCTCCAGAGACTTGGGATTGACTTTTAGGAAGACACTTGCTGTTAATGGAGTGAAAACTTCTAGGCTCACACATGCAAATTTCTTTGTGTATTTGACTACACAACTCTTAAGAGTGCATTCACTGTTTACACCCCATTTTAGGACTAGTGGGTGGAGCAGGGTCCTAGTTTCAAGTCTGGTTGGGCCTTTCTCTGTGGAAGTGTCTCCCTTTGATGTGGGTTCTGCTTGAGTACTCCAAAGATGTGTGTTAGGTTCAGTGATGATACTACGAGGTGAATGTGAGCTTGAGTGGTTGTCTCTGTTAGCCCTGCTATACTCACAACCTGTCTAGGGTGTCCCTCACCTCTCACACATGACAGTGGGGTAGGTTCCAGCCCTCCCATAACTCTTAAATGGATGAGTGGAATAAGATGGCTGAATGATTTCCCACTTCCATTAAAGTGTTAACTTTTTCCCTTTATTGGAACAATGTTTTATCTGATGCTGCACTCATGCAAAGTCTGCAACAATTAATATTTCCAAGCCTGTATGTGGAGAGATTGACCCGACTAATGTTTTCCTGCTATTTTTATAATTTATCTTTGTTTAGGGGGCAGTGATGACACATGGACGGAGTCGGAGGAGTTTCCAGAGGATGACAGGGTAGTCAGGTAATGGTTACCTTACCTGCTGTACACACAGGACATTTTTTTTTAAAATGCATTTATTTTGTAATTTAAGAATTGTGTTAATCTCATGGAGTCAAAGTCTCATCTGTGATAAACAAATTAATCCATTCTTAACACTGTCTAATAGGACTTTTGTTTTTAAGAGAAAAGTCAGAATTTGGCTCTGAGGGTAGGTTTGATGTTGTCACTGACCTGATCATACAGGGTTTTAAAAAAACTACAAACAAAAACCCACAGAATTTACAGCCTGGATATTTGGTCTTGAAAGTTAAATCTTTTTTTTTTTTTTCTTAATCCAATCATTGGTTGACAACTTGAAAAATAATTTAATGCTGTAACACACGTACATTTAGAAACTACACCCAGCAAATGCCCAACATTTATATGCTATGTGCATGTTTTCACAATCTCTATAAATTGGTTTTCTTTTTTTGCTCATTAGATGAGGAGCCAAAATATCTCAAATATTGAGGTTTAACCATCTGCCTGGTCACTGGTTATGCTCATGTCTAGAAACTAATAAATGTACAGCAAGTACACACATCTGTGATGTGCCCCCGTCCCTGCTATATTTTGGAGAGTGACTTGTTTTCCTTCTCCAGTGTTTTAGATCATTTAATAACAGTTACTGTGTCAGATAAATTGTCTATGCTATCATTTTTTTGAACATGACAGCATGTTCACATTATCTCTTCACTTTTCTCCTCGTCAGGAACGGTGACTCCCATCTCTTCGATAAGGTTCGAGGTTATGACATTAAGCTGCTGCGTTACCTGTCAGTTCGCTACATCTGCGACTTAATGGTGGAGAACAAGAAGGTTAAGTTTGGCCTCAAGTAAGGAACAGACTGTACTGGTTCATTCACACTCTGTGCCATTTAGGTCACAGTTTCCTAAAAGAAGAGGGGTTAGAGGGAGGCTTCTGATGTGGCTACTCAGTTTAGCGTCAGATTTTTGTCAGTTCTGTCGTTAACAGCTGGGTGTGTGCAGTGTGCTTGGGATTATGGTGAAGTGTGTGTGTGTGTGTGTGTGGGGTTCCCCCCCCAATTTACTATAAACAGCTATGTCTAGAGCACCGCAATCACTGCTGCATCATTCGGTGTATTATAAGGTCTGCTGTTGAGGGACAGATTTTTGATTGAAAATACATGGTGACAAGGCAGGTCAAAGGTCAGGAAAGTGCAAGTTTAAGAAAAAAAAAAGTAGAGGGCCAGGAAACGGTTGCAGTGTGAAGCAGCAGTATCAGCAAGAACTTAATACTCTACGAATAACAGGAACACTTCAATTAAGTTCCAGTTTTCCCTGTCAGCTCCAGAAAGGTCAGAAGCTGCACTGCTAGTTTATGTCATTACAACAGCTTTTAATTAAAGGGTTTATTTTCATGTTTCTGGGTGACTGCTTATAATGCATCTCATTTGGTTTCCTTGTGTCCTTGCAGTGTGACGTCATCAGAGAAGGTAGACAAGGCCCAACGCTATGCAGACTTCACTTTGCTTTCTGTGCCTTACCCAGGTAAGGACCCTTTCACCAGAGCTAGGTGTGCTTTATCAGCCAGTAATGGAATATGAGTGGAATTACAGAGGCGGTCCACGAACAGCTGTGACTTGTAGAACAAAGCCCTCGATTGATAATATAGTAATAAATTAAACTACCATTTTGGTGTTTGTGCTTAAAACTTTATTACTACTACTCTTTCATAACATGTACCTGTGCTGTCTACCCAAATTAAAGCTCTGGGATGTTGCACTTTAAGCTAGTAACATTTGTCAAATCTTAAGCATTTAATTATTCACATTTTTCTGCTTTGTATAAAGTGCATATTTGCCATAAAACCTTCTGCCAGGCAGAAAATATTTGGGGAACTGGACATTTTATTTATATTTTTGTATACTCGCATTATAGCTTGACTTTGGGTTAATTTACAGAGGAGTTTGGGGGGGGCATATGATTGTTGGGTTTCCTCTGTGTTGTTGTAGGGTCTACTTTACAATATAAAGCACCTTGTACAACTGTTGTTGTGATTTGGCGCCGTACAAATTACATTTTAATGTTGTTTTTCAGGTTGTGAGTTTTTCAAGGACTACAAAGACAGAGATTACACAGCAGAGGGTCTGGTGTTTAACTGGAATCAGGTAGAGAATCTGCTCAGACAGATCAGGCACTGGTCAGAAGTCAGCTCTGTGTTGAGCATTCTTCTTTGTGTCTTCTGACAGGACTTTGTGGACGCTCCTTTGACAATCCCCAGGTGCTTTACTCACAACTTGAACATTGACTGGACTCAGTACCAGGTTAATTCTCTTCTCTTGTCTTCCTGCTTATACTGAGTTCTTTATCTGCCATAACTGTCATGTGCTGATATTACTGGTGTTATAGCTCCATCTGTTGTCCAACTTGCACAGATCTTGGCTCGTTATTCATAACTTGACTGCTCATACACTAGCATCACTAAGTTTTTATTTTATTTTTTTCCTGTGATGCTTTTGCTGTAATAGGTTGACAAAGAAAACACGGACAAACTGGCACATTTATAGTAATATTAGTGTCTTATAGTAATGTTTAATGTTTCTCTGTGGGTTGCTGGTGTACTCATGCTGATAAAAACCGTACAGTCAAATGGTGTCTGACCTCACAGAATGTGGTTTTAAAGCTAAATGCCAAAATGTGCAGAAAATGATTTTCTTTCTGGGTTTTAATCTATCGATTTGGTTAAATGTGGTTGGAGGAACAGGCCAAGCTTTGATGCACAGTGTGAAGGACCTTTCCAGTTTAAGATGTAATCCAGTAAGATCATTTCCTGAGTGCAAAGTAAGGTTTTTATCAAACAATTAATGTTTGTTTCTCTGTGAAAACTGTCCAGTCATGGGACCTGGTGCAGCAGACCCAGAACTACCTGAAGCTACTTCTCCACATCATCAATAGTGATGGTAGGTGTGTGTGTTTTCTTGTTGTGGATTAGAGGCAGCTCAATCATAATATAAAGCAACAGTCAAAGTCATTGTAGAAGGAAAGCCTGCCATTATCTAGCTACCTTGGTAACTCCTCTGGCAGTTTATGTTCTGTCAGAATGAGTGGTAATCTGGGATGTAATATAGAATCAACTGTTGAATAAGAAACCAGGTTTAGCATAAGGTTTTGTAGCTAATTCACTTCCTGTTTTGGATAATTCTCTGGTTAATGGTTAACCACCACCAAACAGCTGAAGACTTTGAGTAGACTGTCACTGTTTCAATGTCCAACTTGTAACAGAATAATCGGAGTAGATATTTAAGGAACTACAATGTCAAAATGCTCAGGTCAGTTTGTGTCAAAACATTGGTTTTAATTGAAGTTTAAGATGTCTTAAAGCGTTCATCATGACAATCACAGTAGCAGAACTGTTCCTTAACCCGTGTGAATTTTCCAAACAAATGTCACAAAGCATATTGATCATTTTTTCCCCGTGCACCAGGCATAACGGAATTGGCTTGTTTGTCCCCAGTATACCTTTTTTGCCACTCATGCTACGGCCTTCACCTGGGTCAGAATTTTCTCCAGGACCCAAATCAGACTGAATACTTTTTCTGTTGCTATATTGTCTCACTCACAGCATGACCATTATGTAATTTCGTCTCCTGTTTTACTGGCAGTTGGCAACCCATTTAATTGGAGCAGGTAGTTGTACTGCCCTCTAGTGGAATAGAATGTAACCAGATAATCTTCCACGGCACATCTGATCATTTCTCACGGCACAGTGGTTGGGAAACACTGCCTTAACCTAATTAATGGTCTGTGTAGCCATCTCAAATAGCCAAAAAGTCCTTAAATAAGCATTAGTTGGCAGTGCTTTATTTATTGTCTGTGAAGGTTCTCAGTCATCCAGGACATCGTAGTCTGAGGAAACTTGGAAAGAAAAGCGTCTGGACTTAAGTTGCTTGAAGAGGTTTCACCTTCATCCGAGAAGCTTCTTCACTTCTAGTTAGAACCATCTTAAAGAAGTCCAGACACTTTTCTTTCCAAGGTCCTTAGTTTATTTATTTTTTGTTCATTTATACTACGTCAAATATTGGTACTATTTTAATTCCATTTATTTAGTATGATTTAGAATAGTTACATATGGTAAATGGCCTGTATTTGTATAGCGCGTTTACTAGTCCCTACTAGGATTATTATGCCAATTACTGTCTATTGTTTTGTCCTTTGTCAGAATGCAGAGCAATAAACGAGTTTCTCCATTTCCCTGTACATCTATAAATTTCAAGCTGTGGTTCAGCATCCTTCATGAAGGCAGTTCATCGCAGAGCTGTTATACTGGCACTCTGTGCCATTGCAAAACAGAATATGCATGTTGCTCAGTCTCGGTGCTGTCGTCTTCACTTGGATCATTCAGTATTGTTTCCAGTTCAGTACACCAGTTGAGTTCATCTATCGAGTTCATGTTACACAACACTTCTGTACTCTGTGGTGCATTATGTACTCTACCTATTCATAATACTCTTGCTTTCCAGAAGGTGCTTACAGCATTGACCTCTCAGGTGTTGTCATTTCAGATGATAGCGGCCTCCTGGTGCACTGCATATCAGGATGGGACAGAACGCCTCTGTTCGTGTCTCTCCTCAGGCTCTCTCTCTGGGCAGTAAGTCTTTTCTATTCTTGAGTGGTTTTTAAATCTTTTTATTTCCTTCTGTTTCTCCACATGACACCAAACACCTCAATGGGTCCTTCAGACCTTCATTAGAGACTCTTGTAATCCCCAGCTTAATCGGTCTGCCACAAATCCACCACTGCTCCTTGTGTCAGTTTTTCTGTGCTGTAATTGACCTCGCTGTATTCACCACAATTTGTTTTTTATTTTTAAATTCCAACTTATGCAAAAAAGTCTTCTTCTGAAAATGTGACCCACATGGCAATCTTCTGATAAAACTGAAACTGTTGATCTGTGGACAACTAGTCAGCTCTGTCATGGTGTGCTGATACTGTGTAGGGCACAGGCAAAATTAAGGCCATGGTGCCTTTCTGAATCTTGTTCAGAGAGCAGTTCTGCTACCTTCTCTAGACTCATGACTTTGACATGTTTTACGTTGGCCAATGTGACACAGCACCTCTGTAAAGGGCAGAAATGCCAACTTTATTTTTTTTTTTTTAAACTATCTGTTCTGTTTCGGAGATGTGGACAAATTGGTGAAGCCAGTGTAACCAGTACCTGCAGGAACTGCAAAGTTGATTCAAGCACTTTTAGGCTTAGCTCACCAAAACTACAGTTGGTGGTCCACAAGGCTGTAGTCCAAGCCTGTAGTTGAAGTGAATCCATGGCATGAGGAACATTGTGGAAAAGCAGCAGATTATTACTTTTTTATTTTATTTTATTTATTTATTTTTTATAGTTACAAATGGTCAATATAATATTTTTTTTAAACCGTGGATAGTTTCACTTAAGTGCATGCATTTAAACCAGACTGCTGTCATGCTCCCATGTGCTTTTCCTGAGAGGTCTCTTCAGAAGTAACGTGAGCACTTTACTTCTACTAGACATGTACACAGTACCTGCTGAAGCCTAAACCTACTAGACTGCTGTTCGACTCAGTTATTCCCATCTTTCACAGGATGGTGCAGTGCATGCCAACCTGGAGCCCACAGAGATTCTGTATCTGACTATCGCTTACGACTGGTTCCTCTTTGGGTAAGAATGTTACATCTGTTATTTCAGGACTTCACAGCAACTTAAGATAAGTTGATTTGGCCAGCAGAAATATGTCGGAGGTGATTTGGACACTTCGTAGTGCCACCTGACTTGAGAGACCCTTGGTTGTCTACAGTACATATTTGAGTTGTGACTGATTAATGGGAAGGTAAACTTGCGACGTGCAGCATTTAAGATAATTTTAAGCCTTTTTTGATCCCATCACCGAACAGCTTAAACTCGGTCACTCATTTTCAGATCTTTAAGCTAAAATGTTCAGTTTGTTTAAAAGTATTCAACTAAATCTGGTGCTATGAGTTTATCCCAAACACACTTGGATCAGTTGAATATATGGTGCATTGTAGTTTAATTATCAAAGTCCTTTAAAGCTGCCGTCAGGTGCAGATGTTGATGTGCTTCATCAACGTCTCCGATCCATTTCAGCTCTGCTGGTATTCTGTATTTATCCTCTTTAACTATGACAAAGAACTGGTCAGTTTAGAACTATTATATAATTTTATATTATAGTATTATTATGCTGAGGAGGTTTGGCAATGGAAGCTTTTCAGTCATTCCTTTTTTCCCCTTCTAGTCACATGCTGCCAGATCGACTCTCCAAAGGGGAAGAGGTACTTGTATTTAAAATGAAGTTGTAGCTCATTCTAAAGCCAGTAAAAATGACGCTTGACATAATCATTTAGCTTAATGTGAATAACACCTAAATGCGTTGAGTGAATTTTGGTTTGTGAAAGGCTACATGCAGTTTGTGTACCCCTTGCTATTCCCAGTTTCTATTTTTGTCTTAATGGTTTCTGTTTGTTTCATCAGACATTCTTCTTTCCTCCTCAGATTTTCTTTTTTTGCTTTAATTTTTTGAAGCACATTGTTTCAGAGAAGTTCTCTACAGTTAAAAAGCAGAGGTGTGTTTACCACATTACCTAGTCAAATTCCAGCTGTGTGGATTCACTATCAGGTGTTCACTAGTCTTTTAATGTCTGACCTTTAAGTTTTAGAAGAAAGAACTCTCACTTCAAAGACGGTGATTTCACTGTGGAAGAGCTCTGCCAGTTGAGTGAGTCACTCTTGCATGCTTTCATCTGTAGAAGTTTTGACTGATATTTCATGGATCTAGCTAATTAATTACAGATATTTTGGGAGCCTATATTATTATAATACCCAAATGCACCACTAAATGACACAGGAAATCATTCCTGCCTGTACAACTCCTCCATCTAATGCACAGTACACACTGCAATAGTTACTGTAGAGAACGTGCAAAAGGGTGTAAATGACAAAGTTTTACAGTTTAGAGTAAAATGTCAATCATATATATTTTACCTCTGTAGTATTCTGGATATTTAATAATTGAGCTATTTGTGTATATTAGAGCCATTTATGTTTTGTGAACTTTGTAATATATTGTATTATTTAATTAGTTCAGTCTGTTACTTTTGTCTTGGAGCAACTGTAACCACATAATTTCCTTGGGGATTATTAAGGTATTCTGATATGTAGTATCAAAAGTTCAGACATACCTAATCTCTGTTATTTAATCTAGTGAAATGTAAAGTGTTTAGCTTTGTTCTAGAATAGTAAGGAGAGTGATTGTGGAGGCCAGATCGCTTTAAGCAGAAATCCAATTGAAATGGTTTGGGATGAATTGGGCAAAGAGGACATCTTAATCATATGGTGTGACTGGTAAAGCAACAGGCCTTTCAGCCCAATTCTATTTTTCTGCATAATCCATCATATAAAATTGAATCAAATGGAAAGTCTCTTTTTAAAACTTAGTACTTAGAAATTAGTTTTAATCATTTAACTTTATGCCCATTAAATCATCTCCTGGACCGACAAGTGCAACCAGTTCAAGTACCAATATTAAACACAAAAACGATTAAATTATGCAATCTTTGCAACATCTGTTGCACATAAACAACATTAAGGTGCAAACAATTCACCTAAAAAAACAAACATTAAAACCCCTCAATATTCAGGAAAATCAGGAAGTGCTTTAAACTGCAGAAAATGTGTTTGACAAACTCGACACAATGTAACTTAAAACATCCTGCGAAACTGTGCTGGCTCTCGCTTTAGTAGGAGAAATTTGCATGCACATTTGCAGCTATCATTTTAAATTTTGGGTGAAATGGGGTCAATGCAATTCTTAAGCATGGATGCAAATGTTCGTTAGTCGTGAGCGAATTTTGTCCATTCATCTTTAAATGCCCAATTTTCATCATCCACTTTACATATTTATGACAAAGCCATCTTCTTTTACTCATCTGTGCAGCACCAAGTCATAATTATACTGTCAACATTCCTGAGCTCCCAAGCTAGGAATTTAGCAACCCGCACTGAAGGGCCTGCATGGGTTTCCTTTGTGTTGGTGGTGCAATATCACCACCAGCTGGCTTGGAGTGTGGACCTGAATGTCACTGCCCCACATAGTTGCCCCACGCGCCTGTTCAAAAGTCAGCCACGGTAGCCGGCAGGAATAAAACATTTACCTACATGGCAAATGAGAAAATGCTTTGCAGTCTGGGGAAAAAACCCTCTTGGGGTTCAGATTTGGGCTGAAGTCCGGATGTTGGGGACCCCTGACCTATACGTTACAGCACGTCTCACTATGGTCTTTAAATGACTTTGTGCTTTGTCACATGGCTGCTGAAAACAACCATCAGAAGTTGGGTGCGCTGTTCAGCAACTATACATAGGCAGGCTTTGGCTTGTATATCTATATAGACATCATAAATGTGGCATCAAATGCCAATCATTTGGCACTAATGGTGTTATTCAAGAATTCTCAAACTCTTGAAAGAAAGGTATTGAGCATTAAGCAGTCTCTGGTGCTATGCTAAAGACTGCAGTGGGAGCTCATCCTACTTGCCTCTGGTCTGATGCAAGGAGACTTTAAGTGCCTAAAGCAAAACAATGAGACCGTGATTTTAAAATGGTACTTTAATCTTTTATAAAAGTGCAAGCCTAAAATCCAAAACTTGCTTGAACAAACTCTTAACCTCTTAATGTGGTAGTCACATCAGGGTGCTTTTTCATGTCAGACTCGGTCAGTTTCATAGGTGCAAATGGTGCTTTGTTCAGGCCTTTGCTGTACTGTTTGAGGACGACACTGTCTGAGCAGCAGATGTGTGACTGCAGAATCTTGGGGGAATTGCTCCAGCCTTCCCCTGTAAATGTCTTTGTTTTATACATCTAAATACTATATTTAGCTGGGGTGGGGCGGACAATACGGGAGCTTTGGGAACATTGAAGGAGGGGGGTAAACCTTTATTGGTTGGTGCTACTCAGGCTCTCCTGTGTGACATGTTGGATGAAATGCTGTTTGCTTTCAGAGTCCAGGGACCGTGGCAGTGTGACTAGTTTGAGCAGTGACTTTTCCCTCATCACTGAAGAGATTGCTAGTGGATCAAGCTTGACCAATGACACTGTGGACCTGTCCTCCAGTCAGCCCCAAGCCTCCAACTGGTCAGCACCACACATGCTCACACAATTCAAGGATTAACAAAGTGTCTTTAGGTTGATCTTTTCTTCCAGTCATTGCAAGCTTCCTAGAATATTTATACTGCTGTATAATACATACGGTCCAGTAAAAACAATACCGTAGAAAATGCAAATCTACTCTCCTCCAGTGGATAACAAAAGGTCTGCAAAACGCATGTAAAAGCTTTTCATATCCACACAATTACAATTTTTGATTCTGTCTGCTTGAGACCCTCCTCAGCTATGCAGGGCAAGTTGAATGGAGTCACTCAGGAATCTGACTGGTTATGTAGAGGTGCATGAGTATATGTAAATGCTCACCTCCCAGTCATTGTTTCATAGGGTGTTTTGCATTATAGTCTCCAGGTACTTACTCTATTAAACATTTTGCAGTCATCGTATGCAAGCTAGAGTAATTTGGATGGTTGTGTTGTGACCCTATGCTGGACTAGTCTTTTTTTTTTTTTTTTTGTTTTTCCCCACCAAGGCCTTAAAGTGTCTGAAGTTGATGTGTCATCTCAAACAAGTTCTTTGCATTTTAAGGAAATGCTCACAGCTCCAACACTCTGCTAGTTTAGAACTAACACACACACACGTGTTCCAAGCCAAAGATGCCTTGTCTAAGGAATACCACATACAACATCTAACTTATGCAGTGGTGGTGTCGTTGGCCTCGGATAACAAGCTGTTGCTAATGGTGATTTACTCTCTGCCCTCAGGAGAAAAGGCAACACTTCCTCTTCTCCAATGGTGGTTTGGAATAAACAGAACCCTTTGGACGACCGCCTCTCCCACACAGCAAATGACGCCAGGTCTTCTAGCTCCTCATCCAATCAGTCGGAGCATGGCGACACTCGTACTGGCAGCAGCCCATTGGCTGTTCCAGGGAGAAGGTGAGGGAGTCAATGTAGCTTAAGCCGCCAGTTCAAGTTTGCTCGACTGCGTACTTTTACACACTTAACACTTTGGACAATCACCAGATGCACCTTCTCAGCTCTGCTTTTACTTACGAGCAGTGAAATACAGTTGCTACGACAGTGCAACCACTGCTATACTGTTGTCATCTGAACCTGTTAAAATGTTCAGGGCCTGGTTTGGAGTGTGTTCCACTTCCTCTATCTAGAAGTCTGATCAGCTTCTTTGTCGGCTTTGAATTCTTCTTTCATTTCTGTTTCTATCATTTCCCTTATTTTGAGTTCAACTGCACTGTTTGACGTATTCGGAAATTTTCCAAATCAGATAGCTTGAAGTTCTCAGTCACTTAAATGCTGCTATTAGGCAAGTGTACGTGGAGGATTTTGTTGCATAGTACCTGCTCATTTCCTTTATTACAAAACTGCAACTGCAGAGAGAAACTTTCTTTCTTCAGTAAAAGAAGTCTAAACTTGCTGCTTTTTAAACACTCTCAGAAACCCTGTGACAGGTACAAGTACAGGAAAAGGCACAAACCCTCTGAACACTTCCCATCCTGAAGAAGACAAGATGGTCTACATAACATGCTCTTTGCAGTTGTAGGCCAAAAAAAGTTTAGTGCATAACAGACCTGCTTTGTGAATGGATTTTGACAAATTGGATTCCACTCTGTCATCAACACACATGACTTTTTAAGCTTTAAGTGATTGTATTGTATAACTGATTTTTGCAAAGCTCCGACAGTATGCAGCTGCATCCAAAAGCAACAAAAAATGCCGTGTGCTAAACAGTTTCAGCTTCTTCAAATTTGCAACATCTTATTAATTTGTATCACTTTTATCTAGCAAGAATACTTGAATAAAATGATACATTTATGAGACTGTGTTCATGGATTGTCCTTAACAAAAAGATTTAAAGTATATGGTAAGAAATGCAGACATTGGTACCAGTGTTGAGACTCGGGCAGTATTTGGCTTCTCCAAAACGGGACAAAGTGGAGAATGGAGTGGTGTCTCCTTAGAAATCAAAATCAGTGTAGTCCCATTTGAAGGCTTTAAGATTTCATATCATTCAGCAGTTACAACACGATATTCTAATGTCATACATCTGGCACAACACTATGGTTTTGAGAAAAAGGTGCTATTGCAAAAGGTCCAATGTAAGGTAGACCATACAATGATGCATGCAGAAAGAAACCCAACAATCATGACTCCCTATGAGCAAGCACTTTGGCAAAAAACTCCTTTTTAACAGGAAGAAACCTCCAGCGCAGCCAGGTTTAGGGAGAGGTGGCCATCTGCCACAACCGGTTGGGTTGGGGTGAGGGAAGGAAGACGAGACAGACATGCTTTGGAAGAGAGCCAGAGATTAATAACAAGTACGATTCAATGCAGAGAGGTCTAACAGCTGACTGTGGACCCAAAGCCTAAAACATCTTGGATGCATTATAGGAACAAATATAATTTTGTTTTTTTAACACCACTTGTTATCAGGATACAACTCGTTTGCTGATACAGACTTGAAACTGAGTCTGGGTATCATAAATGGAGATTGCTCCACCACAAATTTCAGTCATGCTACTGATCAAGATGAGCTCTGGGGGCTTTCTTTTACTTTTGTCCCTCTTATCTGTCTCTCAGGTTAGCAGCGGACTGTGCTCGGTCAAGTTCCTCCCTCTCTACAGATTATGGTAGTTGGCAGATAGTTTCCGGTTGTGGCAGCATCCATGACCATACCCATTTCCCTCCACCTTTGGCCTCGGCCTCATCCTCCAACTCATCTACTGCTATCGCTGCCTACGACTCCCCCCTGCCATTCAGCTTTCAGGATGAAGCCAGTGGACGAATGTAAGTACCTCTCCACTGGTAGACAGGTTTCAGTCCCATAAGAGATTTGTAGATGATGGCATGGTTTCATAGTCTTAAACAAGAGGTTCACTTCCCAGTGGGACAAGGATGCAGAAAAGCAGACTGTCACCCTTTTCTCAGTTAGTAACAAACAGCTTAGACTCCTTAAATTAAACCACGGCTAGCTTTGTGCTCGGGTATCTCCTCCTCCATTCCAACACTGGATCTGTTTGCCATTACAGGGTCCACAGTTTATTGTGAAATTTTCAGTTGTGATACCATTTTTATTTTGTGCCAGTTTAGGATCTCTTTAGCAAATCAGTAACCATAGTTTGTGCTGGGCTGTATGACGGTGTAGTAAGAGTTTGCTGGTTTCAGTTACTTTAGCATTGGTTGTGCAAACCTACATACAAAGTGATCTTTGTCATTAGTCTGTATTTCTTTTCAGTGTATCTGTCCCTACTGTTCTTGACTATAACAGTGTTTCCTGGCTGTTAACACACTCCTGTGCTACCAGCATGGTAAATTGTCTGTGTCACAAATGTTGTGTTTTTGAGGTGACCGTGCTAACCACTGTCACTTAACAAAGTTCCTGGTTTGGACCCCAGGGTGGGGCCTCTTATGGCCTGTGGGGTGTCCTCCCAGGGCCTGTGGGGTGTCCTCCCAGGGCCTGTGGGGTGTCCTCCCAGGGCCTGTGGGGTGTCCTCCCAGGGCCTGT